AGTGAGGGCGTCGGTCCTCGGGGCCCGCGGCCGGCACGACGGAGCCCCCGCACGGCCGGCGGCAGCGGTTGGCGGCGGCCCCGGGCGCCCGGCGTGGGAAGCGGCGACGGGGCGGCGGCGGCGCCATGGAGCCGCGGGAGGTGAAGGACCGAATCCTGGAGAACATCTCGCTATCGGTGAAGAAGGTGAGCGGCCTCCTTCGGCCTGGGCCCCCTCCTCGGTCCCCGTTGCTCGCCACTCCCCGGGTCGCCTCTGTGGCCGGGACCCCGGGCCACGGTCCTCCGGGCGACCCCGGGCCCTGCTGGGGAAGCGGGCGGCTCCCGGGAGCGCCGCGGCCTCCGAGCTATTTTTAAAGAACAAAGTTGAGGTCAGCGTCCTCGGAGCTCCCCGGTGCCCGATCCGGCCTTGCCTTCCCGAGACCGGCCGGTGACACCTCGGGAAGGCTCCGGGTAGGACCGGGCAGAGAGAGCATCCTGAGGACTCCACTGCATCCATCCTCCCTCCCTCGGGGCAAAGGCCGAGGACCAGCACTTGCTGGTCACTCCAGTTGTGCCCTGCGACATTGCCTGGGGACCCGCGGAGTCCCCAGGTCGTCCTATTCCAGGATGGCAGTTTAGAAAAAGCTATTTACAGAGTTCTGATGGAGGACCTGAGGTGTCTAGGGTTGTATTTTTGGATGGTGAGCCGTGGGACAGTGACACTATGACACTTTGCGTTGGGGCTTGTTAGTATTGGTCATTGCCCCAATTCCTGGTGGAAATGACTACCTGTCAAGGGCATGCACATGGGTGAGGAGACAGGCCAGCCTCAGAAGGCTGGGTGTGGTGATGCATGCCTGTCATCCCAGCACACAGGAGGCCAGAGCAGAATCCTGAAGTAGGTCCAGGCTAGCCTGGACTATATAGTGAGACCCTGTCTCAAACACCAAAAACAGAGGAGTAGGAAAGATTGACTAGCCTTCCTTCATGCTCTTTCATGTGTGTGTGTGTGTGTGTGAATGGGAGAGTGGAGGTCAGAGGTCAGGTTTTGAGAATTGGTTCTCTCCTACCTTGTGAATTCCAGGATGCAAACTCAGTTTGTAAGTCTTGGTAGAAATGCCTTTAGCCACTGAGCCATTTCTCTGGCCCTCTTCTCTTTCTCTCTCTCTTCCTTCCTTCCTTCCTTCCTTCCTTCCTTCCTTCCTTTCTTTCTTTCTTTCTTTCTTTCTTTCTTTCTTTCTTTCTTTCTTCCTTTCTTTATTCTTATTTTTCTTTCAAACAGCCTCACTATGTAGACAAGGCTAGCCTCAAACTCTCCCTCCAGAGTGCTGGCATTAAAGGCAAGTACATGCCTGCCTCATTTAAGATTCTTTGTGCTTCTAACTGGTTATAGAGGGACATGGCTTTGATCTCAGCATTTTGGAGGCAGAATCAGGTAGATTTCTATGAGTGTTAGGCCAGCCTGGTCTACATAGTGAGTCCCAGGTTAGCCAGGGCTACACAGTGAGACTCTATCTTGGAAGGAAAAACAAACAAACAAACAAACAATCCAGAAAATTGGCCGCACGGTGGTGGCTCACGCCTTTAATCCCAGCACTTGGGAGGCAGCGGCAGGCAGATTTCTGAGTTCAAGGCCAGCCTGGTCTACAGGGTGAGTTCCAGAACAGCCAGGGCTACACAGAGAAACAAACCCTGTCTCGAAAAAACAAAACAAAACAAACAAATAAACAAAAAATGTTTCTGTCAAGACAGCCAGCTCAGTGGCTAAGAGCACAGGCAGCTTTTCCAGAGGACCTAAGTTGGGGTCCTAGTACCACCTGGGGCGGCTAACTACTGCCTGTCCACCAGCTCTATGTGCGTGTCTCCCCACACCAACAGACTTTGATTAAAAAAAAAAACCAAAACCAATGGACAGGAACCTTTTAAACTGCAGCCGTGGTCCTCTGAAAGACTCTGTGTTGGTAGAGACAGGGAGGCCCTAACTAAGCTTTGACAGACTGATAGTCTCTCAGAGAGAGAAGGCAGCATCCAGGCTAGAAGGGACATCTTTTAATGAAGCGTCTGAGATAGTTTTCTGGGGTGAGTAGCAAGGGATCTGCTGGATATGGCTAGGATGTGCACCCCGGGAAAGCCATAGAGCCTGGCACTGAGGCCAGCAATGCATAGGCCCAGGATGGGCTTTGGATTCTGGATCTGTCACTGGTCATGATGATCCTAGCAGCCAGCGGAGCCTCTGTTGACTTCACCAGTCAGATGTCAGACTCTGCTCATAACGTCGTATGGAAATTCAGTTCCGGGAGAGAATATACTTACACTGCTCCACACAGTCCCTGCCACTCCTGCCATGGTCACCTGTACTGTTCTCATGTTCTCCCTGAGGTGGGGCTGGCACCCAGGGCCATGTGCATGTGCTGTGAGCCCTCTACCATGACCCACAGCCACGGGCCTTTTTCATTTCATTATTTTATTTAACCTTATTCTTTTAGATAGCCCAGGCTAACAAAATGATCTCTGGGTGATTTTCGGTGTTCCTCTCCACCTTGCTGGAATTACAGGCATGCACCACCACATCTGGCTTCTGTACGTTGCTGGGGATTGAACCCAGGGCCCCTTGCATGCTGGGCAGACACTTCACCCACTGAGCTACATCCTGAGTGTTCCATTTTTCTTTTTCTTCTTTTACTTTTTTTTTGTTTTGCAAGGCAGAGTTTCTCCGTGTAGCTCTGGCTGTCCTGAAACTCTCTCTGTAGGCCAGGCTAGCCTCAAATTCACAGAGATCCATCTGTCTCTACCCCCAGAGCTCTGGGATCAATAGACACTCTACCTAGACATTTTTTATTTTTCTGAAACGGTGTCTTACTTTGTTACCCAGGCCAGTCTCAAACTTACATCCTCTTGTCTTAGCCTCTGAAGTAAGCACAATTATAGACCTGAGGCACCATGCCCTCCTTCCTGAAAACTTTTTCTTAAAGGATCAGGTGGAGAATATTTTTAAGCTTACAGCCTTGGCTGAAATTAGCCGCTTCTTTCCTTTTTACTACAAAGCAACCACATATTTGTGGGTAAGGCTGTATTCTAGTAAACCTTCATAAAAATAGAGTAAACTTTGGCCCAGAGATAGTAGTTTATATATGGACATCTGGGTGCACCCTAAAAAGTTCCCGTCAAGGTAGGCTGGGAGCCCTTTCAGAGAAATGAGGGTGACTAGCCCTGTACAGAGCCCACCGTGCATGGCAGCCGCATCTTTGTTATGTCAGGCTCGAGGGATGAATGTGGGCACTGTGAATCCTAACCAGGGATTCAGTTTCCTGAGTATTCCCCCCAGGTCCTCCTCGTTCCGGGCCCTAGGAAGGTGATATGGGACAGGGATAAGGTCGACACCCTCCTGGAGGCAGTGTGGGAGTAGAGATAAGGAATGATGTGGTCAGATCTTACCTCCACCCGTTTCACATGCTGGCTGGCTCTGCACCAGATTTAGGCAGAATGTGATGAAGGCACAGTGGGGTTACCTTCAAAAGGACCGCTCCTGAGGAGAAGAAAACCGAAGAGTTATTCTAAGAAAACATGTCTTGGGTGAAGAAGAGAGACAGGGTGTCACTCTAGCCTGAGCTAGCCTCAAACTCACTGTAGCCTAGGAGGCCAGCCTCCTATAACAGAACCTCCCTGGAATGACAAGCTTGCGATGTTATGCACACACATGTCACACACATACAATCACATGACGACACAAACGTGTACCACACATACACGGACCACACACACATGTACACACATACCATACACTCCCCCTATACACGCACATAACACATATGTACCACACACACACATTTGCATCACGTACACACCACACATGCACCATACACCACACACACACCCACCACACACTACATACATGCACCACACACGTATGCATACACTGTATATACACCAGTAAGCACAAATATAGACAGGGTGTGGCTCCGTGGTAGACTGTTTACCTTAGCATGCACAGAGTCCTGGGCTGGATCCCTGTGTTCCATTGGAGTGTACACCTGCATTCCCAGTGCCAGAAGGTAGAAGCTGGGATCCAGAATTCAAGATCATCCTTGCCTACATTAGTGAGTTCCAGGCCAGCTTGGGCTACGTGAGACTCTGTCTCAAGAAACAAAACAAGGGCTGGAGAGATGGCTCAGGGGTTAAGACCACTGACTACTCTTCCAGAGGTCCTGAGTTCAATTCCTAGCAACCACCTGGTGGCTCACAACCATCTGTAATGGGATCCAATGCCTTCTTCTGGTGTGTCTGAAGACAGATACAGGGTACACACATACGATAGATAGATAGACAGATAGACAGACAGACAGACAGTCAGACAGATAGATAAAACCAAAACAAAAAAACGAAACAATAAAAACACGCACACACTCAGTAGCCAGAAGGGGGCTGGGTAGGAGGATTGCCGTAAGGTTAAGGCTAGCCTAGGCTTCATAGCCACACTCTGCCTTCAAAAAGCTTATCTTTATAGTTATTATTAATAATAACAAAGCCACAGGTATCTCAAAAGCTTGCAGGATGAAAAGTAACCGTCCCGCGTCTCCCCTACCATAAATGGGACGGATGACCTCCTAAGACATTGACGGTAGGCACAGGCCTGATTCTGCACCTGTTCAGTAGAGGTTGACACTGTCTCCTGTTGACCGAGCCTCAGAGAGGGTCTGTTTCCAGCACATGGGCACCGTCAGCCGGAGGCCGCCCCCTTCTGGGTCTGGATCCAGAGGCTCCGGTGACCAGGCTCCAGCTGTTAACCCCACCCAGCTGCACATGGCTGCTTCCAAGGCTGTCCTGGGGAGTGGGTTTTTTTGTTCTTTGAGACAGGCCTCTGATAGCCCTGGCTGTTCTGGTACTTGCTAAGTAGATCAGGCTGGCCTCGAACTTACAGAGATCCACCTGCCTCTGCCACTTGAGTGCTAGGGTTAAAGGTGTGTGCAGCTATGCCTGGCCCTTTCAGCCCCTTCAGATAGCTTAGCCCTGGCAGTGCATTATAAATTAGTGAAAGTCCACACCCTTTGCTTTTTTTGTTTGTTTGTTTTGGGTTTTTTGGTTGTTTGTTTTTTTGTTTTTGTTGTTTTGTTTTTTGCTTTGTTTTGTTTTCTGTTTTTCGAGACAGAGTTTCTCTGTATAGCCCTGGCTGTCCTGGAATTCACTCTGTAGGCCAGGCTGGCCTCGAA